TAACTACTATGAAGGGATAGAATATGACTCTAAAAATGAAAAATAAAAAAGATTTTTTTAAAAAAGCGATTGATAAGATGTTGGTTGAAAAAGGGAAAAAGAAAAATTTTTTTTTAAAAATTAAAAAAATTAACTCAAAGAATCTTTTACTCTGATGTTCAAAACCCCAGTTACAACCCAGGTGTTAAGATGTCTTCCATAGAGCATACTGTACCTCTTTGATGATTCTCACCCCTTTTGGATCCTTGATATTAACAGCTATACTCTAAAAATTAAAATATATATATTAAAATAGTGTCATAAAGGTTTTCATATTACTGACAGTTCAGTAAGGGAGCCATTCATATCATATGTTCTCCTCTTAAAGCAAGTGTATTTTCCTCATGAAGAAACATTTAAATTATCTTTACTGATTTTATTTGCAATGTAACTATATTAGGATGATACCAAGGATAACAGTAAAAATTTTTCAAATAATACCAAGTGTTAGGCAATTAGTGATCTCCAAAAGAATAAAATGTAAAGAATCAAATAATTACTTTCTTTAATAAAATCATTTCCATTATAAACAATTAGAAATTCTCTTGAAATATTTTAAGTTAGTAGAGAAGGAAGATTAGTAAAAAGCTCTCTTGTTTCTATTTGGTACCTGGTGAATGAATAAAATTTCACCTTATTTTAAATATTATATACACAAAAAAGGATAGAAATGAATGAGCCAAGATGATATCAAAAGTTTTGTTATTACAAGAGAATTACACAAAAAAAACAAAGAAAGAAATTATATTCTTACTTTTTTATTTCGATTAACACTGAGAAAATAAGTACTTTCTGTCCCCACAAAAGGTGGCCCCCAAGTTCGTGTATCATCACCAGCTCCTGAAAATAATAGTATGAGCTATTAATTTTTAACTCTTAAACATCATGAGACATCCAAACCAACGTTCACCCATCATATACATTCACAGTTGCCTAAACAAAAAATTCAGTGGAATTTGCAATTTAGAGGGACCATAAGAACTTGTTGGAACTGTCCAAACTCTACCTGCTCATGTTATTCACTAAGTCCTACCATATCATCTTTACTAGAATCCATCCCTGAAAGTCAATATCCAGAAAGAAATATCCTATTAGCAGTCTTTAGATTTAATAAATGTCAAATTTAAAAGAAAAAAACTACTCTCAGTTTTTGGCAAGCAAAAAGTAAAAATCTTCAGCAGTTTAGGTCAAAAAGTAAAAAGCTTTGGCAGTTTAGGTCAGCTCTTTCTATGTTTCTTGGCATTAAATGTGCAAAGAAATGCTGAGTCTGCAAAAGATTTTTGTTAAATATTATTTAAACCAGAATAATGGCAAGTGAGATTTTATAATAAAATGGCATCATAAATAAATAAATCTTTAAGTTTCTGTGAAATCCCAGAAATAAACCCAAGCATATATGGCCAACTAATGTATGACAAGGGAACCAAGAACACTCAAAGGAGAAAAGACAAGTCTTCTCAACAAATGGTGCTGGGATAATTGGATACTCATATGTAAAAGAATGAAACTAAACCCATATCTTACACCATTTATCACTCACAAAAATTAACTCAAAAAGGATTAAAGACTTAGACATAAGACTTAAAACCATGAAATTCCTAAAAGAAAACATAGGAACAAAGTTCCTTGACATGGGTCTTGGTAATGATTCTTCTGGACTTGACACTAAAAGCACAAGCAATAAAATAAAAAATAAACATGTGGAGGGGCGCCTGGGTGGCTCAGTCATTAAGTGTCTGCCTTCAGCTCAGGTCATGATCCCAGAATCCTGGGATCAAGCCCCACATCGGGCTCCCTGCTCGGCGGGAAGCCTGCTTCTCCCTCTCCCATCCTTCTGCTTGTGTTCCCTCTCTCAGTGTGTCTCTCTCTGTCAAATAAATAAATAAAATCTTTTAAAACATAAAAATTAAAAAAAAACAAGTGGAACTACATCAAACTGAGAAGCTTCTGCACAAAGGAAACCATCAACAAAGTGAAAAGACAACCTACAGAATGGGAAAAAATATTTGCAAACCCTATAGCTGATAACAGGTTAATACCCAAAGCATACAAAGAACTCACACAACTCAAATAAAAAAACAAATAACCCAATCAAAAAATGGGCAAAGGACCCAAAAAGATATTTCTCCAAAGAAAATAGACAAAAGGCCATCAGGTAAAGAAAAAGAAGCTTGACATCCACTAGTCATTAGGGAAATGCAAATTAAAACCACAATGAGATAATCACCTCACATCTGTTAGAATGGCCATTGTCCAAAAGACAAGAGCTAACAAAAGAAATGTTGGTGAGGATGTGGAGAAAGGGGACCCCTCGTGCACTTCTGGTAGGAATGTAAATTCGTACAGCCACTGTGGAAAACAGTATGAAGGATCCAAAAAAAATTAAAAAGAGAACTACAATATGATCCAGCAATTCCACTTCTAGGAATATATCCAAAGGAAACAAAAACACTAACTCAAAAAGATATGCACCCCATGTTCATAGCAGCATTATTTACAATAGCCAAATACGAAATCACCTGTGTCCATTGATGGATGCACGGATAAAGCTGTAGTATATATACACAATGGAACACTGTTAAGCCATAAAAAATTGAGGAAGTCCTACCATTTGTGACAACATGGATGGACCGTGAAAGCATTATTAAATGAAATAAGTCAGACAAATACAAATATTGTATGATCTCACTTATATGTGGAATTTTTAAAAAAACCAAACTCATAGAATAAGAGATCAGACTTGTGGTTACCAGAGGTGGAGGGTGGGGGCAGAGGGAATTGGAGGAAGGTGGTCAAAAGGTAAAAACTGCCAGTCAAAAAGTAAATTAAATACTAGGGATGTAATGTACAGCATGATGACTACAGCTAACACTGCTGTATGTTATATAGGAAATTTGTTAAGAGAGTAAATCCTAATAGATCTCATCACAAGAAGAATATTTTTTCCTTTTTTCTTTTCTTCTTTCTTTTCTTTTTACTGTATCTACATGAGAAGATGGATGTTAGCTGAACCTATTGTGGTAACAATGTATGTAAATCAAACCATCATGTCATTTGCCTCAAACTTACACAGTGATTTATGTTAATTATTTCTCAATACAATTGGGAAAAAATTGTGTGTTATAGCAACAAATCATAAACGGCAACATAAGTTTCCGAATAGCAGGTTCATTTAATTTCAAATAGTATTCTAGAATAAAATTTTAGTCAACTAGGTCTTGCTTCAAAGTAAAAGTTTAAAAACATCAAATATAGGGTGTTTTTTTCTGAACATCTACTTCAAGGGATATATTTGTATTAGATTCAAAGATAACACTATAGAGTTACAGAAAAATTTTCCTTTGCACAAAAAGCAACTGACAATGTAGACAGAGCTCAGAAAATCAATCAATGATTAAATGGCACGAAACAGTATCTTTTAAGGATTTTATAAGGTCTGATTAAATATTGATATTAGAAACTAATCACTATATAAGTAATTACAATTAAAGTATTTATCACTAGCCCCCAAGAAGAGACTACTTGTGAATATGAGTTAGAGTTTAAATTCTAATCTCATCTAAATAATATAATTAATCTATTAGCCCATTAGACTTTACCACTGAAACTGATCAAGAAAAACAGACACAGCCTTTTGGAAAACAAAACAAGAGGCCAAAGAATAGACTCATTTATTAAAAAAAAACAAAAACAAAAACAAAAAAACAACCTCACAAGAGAAAAGAGAGGACACAGGCTAGAGGAGAAAAGAAGAATTAATTCTAGCGGTGCCTGGGTGGCTCAGTTGGTTAAGCATCTGCTTTCAGCTCAGGTCATGATCCCAGGGTCCTGGGATGGAGTCCTGCAACAGGCTCCCTGCTCAGCAGAGAGTCTGCTTCTCCCTCTCCCTCTGCGCCGCCCCCCGCCCCCCACTCATGCTCTCTCACTCTCTCTCTCTCAAATAAATAAATAAAATCTTTAAAAAAAAAAGAAAAAAGAAGAAGAAGCATTAGTTCTAACTGGAAATGAACCAGTAACAAAACAAAGCAATCAATGGTAAGCATCAAATGGAATGGCATGCCCAAAACATCAGGGTAAAAAATGAGCTACAAGATCCCAGAAAGGCAATCTTCCAGTAATAAACAAGTAAGAAGAGGCTTCAACGAAAAGGTAGGTATGAATCTGGATCTTCAGGATCAGACAGCACCTGTCAGAATCAAGAGAAAGTCCAGCTACTTCCATTTTTTTGAAGCTTCCAATACATTAATTTTTTTTTTAAATAAAGCAACATCAAGGTAGGGCTACAATTAGATAATTTTATGTTTACATTCATCTCTCAGGTGGAGATAATGTCAGGAATCTTAATTGGAGGCCTACATGGCTTTCCTACCCAGGGCTTTAGAGAGGATCAGTGGCCTCTGGAAAGAATCAGCATGGATGACACGTGACAAGAAATAAAGACTAAAGAGCTGCCATCTTGCGTCCCCGTGTGTGTGCACCTAATCTCAGCTGGTCCACTCGAGACCCCCTGAGCGCCAACTCTATTCCCCCATGCAGTCCCATTTCTGCTCCAACAAGATGAAAGAAACTATCATGAACCAGGAGAAACTTGCCAAACTGCAAACACAAGTGCACATTGGTGGGAAAGGAACTGCTCGCCGAAAGAAGGTGGTTCATAGAACAGCTACAGCAGATGATAAAAAACTTCAGTTCTCCTTGAAGAAGTTAGGTGTAAACAATATCTCTGGTATTGAAGAAGTATGTTCACAAACCAAGAAACAGTGATCCCCTCTAACCACCCCAAAGTTCAGGCATCGCTGGCAGCGAACACTTCCACCATTCCAGGCCATGCTGGGACAAAGCAGCTGACGGAAACGCTACCCAGGATCTTAAACCAACTTGGTGCAGACAGTCTGAGTAGTTTAAGAAGACTGGCTGAAGCTCTGCCCACACAATCTGTGGATGGAAAAGCACCACTTGCTATTGGAGAGGATGATGATGATGAAGTTCCAGATCTTGTGGAGAATTTTGATGAAGCTTCCAAGAATGAAGCAAACGGAATTGAGTCAACTTCTGAAGAAGATAAAACTTGAAGAAGTTACTGGGAGCTGCTATTTTATATTATGACTGCTTTTTAAAATTTTATTCATGGATCTGATAAAATCTAGATCTCTAATATTTTTAAGCCCAAGCCCCTTGGACACTGCAGCTCTCTTCAGTTTTTGCTTATACACAATTCATTCTTTGCAGCTAATTAAGCTGAAGAAGCCTGGGAATAAAGTCTGAAACAAGGTTAATAAAGTTCTTTGCCTAGGAAACAAAAAAGAAAGAAAGAAAGAAAGACTAAAGGTCACAAACTGGGAACACTGGCAGTTGAGAGATGTTTTATTTGACCCACACACAATTTAAAGTTTTTAACTAGCTGCCATGATTTCAAAGTCTGGAGATTTCATATAAAATTTCAGACTGCAATATTTCAACACATTCAATCCATTCAGCAAATATTTATTGGGCACCTACTATGTTACAGACAGGGCTCTAGGCAGAGCAGACACAGCAGTGAACAAAAGACCACACCCCTGCCCTCATATCCCTGCCTACGGGGCACAATCCATGAGTACCAGCAACATCATTTGCTGCCCTCCCTAGGTTACTACAGAACAAAGAAAAAGAAAATTTATGTGCTCTTTGATTACAAAAATAAGAATAGTCCCAAGTCAGAAAACTATAACCAAATTTTACTTAATTAAAGACCTGGAGGGGTACCTGGGTGGCTCAGTCGGTTAACCGTCTGCCTTCGGCTCAGGTCATGATCTTAGGGTCCCGGGATCAAGCCCTGCATCCAGCTCCCTGCTCAGCGG